TGGTCCGTTACTAAGCAGCGTATCAAGGGAAATCATGGTGAAGCTCTCGTTGCCAACTGTGTCGTCTCGCATCCTCATAGTCCCCTCGTCAAAAGCAGCATCTGCGGTATCTCGATCGTCGGATTCGAAGGCTTGAGCCTGATCATCTTCGGCATCGCTCGCATGGGCAGAGCTTTCGCTGGGTGTCGGGAGGCTGGCATGGCCGTCTTCCGAGAAATCGAGATCCTCGGGCTGTATAGGCTCTGCGTCGTCTCCACTGGTCGGCGTAAGCACATCGCTTCCCTCATCTTCGTGCTCGTCGGACTCCATCAGTACCACTTTATTCGCGTGTGGGGTACCCTTGCGTGTTCGCAAATCCTGCCTCATGCTCCTCTGTATCGGTGAGCTCAAGTTGGGCAATTCCTCAGCCTCCATCAGCGCATCGCTCATGGTCTCGGTAGTGGGGCCGGGGAGATCTGCGAAATGCGCGCTCTTTTTTGAGACTCCGGACTTTGAACTCGAAGGAAGCACAGGCGTAGTATCTTGCACCGACCCTTCTCGTGTCCCTGAATCCTCGGCCGCAGCGACGACCTTCCTGGGCCGGCCTCTCCGCTTCTTTGGCGGCACATCGGTGTCCACATCGGCTGCGCTTGACTCTCCACCCTTCATATTTAACTCGCGTGATCCGGATCGTGCGCGCCTCTTGACTGGTGTTCCCTTTCGCTTTGGTTTAGGAGTGGCTCCCACGTCAGACTTTCGGGGGCGTCCGCGGGGGCGTTTGACAGGCGAGGAGGTATCGTGATCCTTCAATGGCACCGTCGTCGTTTTCGTTCTCGTGGTTACTCGCTTCACGGATGGGGAAGCGTTGACGTCGTCGCTTCCGGGTTCAGCCTGGACGGTGACCTTGATGCGCCAGGGGCTCGCGCCGCCGCCGCGTGGTGTGCTCATGATCATCGACTTGGTGGGCGAGGAGAACATCATCTCCGAGGCCTCGAGTCTGCGGTTCTGCTTGGTCGGTGAGCTGCCCGCCATCGAGTCACGCGGCCTGGGCTTGCGGGCGGACGTGATGGTGTTGTCGAAGGAGAGGGCCAGCGGATCCGGGCTCGAGTCGTAGCTGCGATCGCTGTGGGCATCGTCGCCTGCCGTTGCGCTTCGGCCGCGGGGCGCCATGTCTTAGAAGGGTCGGAGGGGTGTCTTGGTTGTTAGTGCGAGAGGAATGCATGTGGGTGGGGAACAAACGTGCGGCATCCGTCAGAATGCGGGACGGGCCACGCGCTGTCGCCCTAGCAACTATCTTATCACGCGCTGCTACGCGCGACACCACCAACAGGGCAGCCGGCGAGACGACCGAGTGCAGACTATGGAGGCGCGATGGGTATTCATGGGTGAGTTGCGCCGTCTACTAGAAATCATTCCTTGCTGATTCGCGCAGTATCTACAAGGAGATCGGCCCTGGAAAGCGCGTAGCCCTGTCAAAGCTCGCCGTCGAAAAGTTCGAAGAGACCGGACGCCCGCTGCGCATTGCTATCGACACATCAATATGGCTTTTCCAGATACAAGCTAGCAAAGGTAGAGCTTTGGCATCACGCACATGCTTGCGCTATGCTGACTGTGACTAGGCGGCACCAACCCGGCGTTGCGCACCTTCTATTATCGCCTCCTTCGCCTCATCTCGCTCGCCATCCATCCCGTATTCGTCTTCGATGGGCCAAACAAGCCGCCCTTCAAGCGCAACAAACGCACCGGACCTAACGTCGCATCCATCCCGGAATTTCTCGCAAAGCAACTGTTGAAGCAATTTGGATATCCGATACATCTTGCGCCGGGTGAAGCTGAGGCAGAATGCGCGCTACTTCAGCGAGAGGGAATAGTGGACGCGGTTTTGAGTGAAGATGTCGACACACTCATGTTTGGAAGTGGCATCACGATACGCAACTGGTCACCAGAGAAGACAGGAAAGACGCCAACACACGTCAACGTATACGATGCGGTTGAAACAAAGAACGGGCCGTCAGGATTGGATCGCGAGGGCATGATACTCGTCGCGCTAATGAGCGGAGGAGATTACGTCCCTGAGGGTATACCTGGATGCGGTCCAAAGACAGCATGCGAGGCTGCAAAGGCAGGTTTCGGCGCCGATTTGTGCAAGATCCCAAGAAACGACGCCAGAGCCATGTCCCAATGGCGAGAGCGACTGCAGCATGAGCTGAAGACTAACGAGAGCAAGCACTTCAAGCGCAAGCACGGTGCACTGAAGATCCCTGACGACTTCCCGCGTTTGGACATCCTTGGATACTACACACACCCGGCCATTTCGAATCAAGCTGGGTTGGATAAACTGCGCCGATCGATCAAATGGGACCAAGAGCTGGATTTCTCGGGCTTGCGCGAGTTTACACACGATGCGTTCGACTGGGTCAAGCTTGAAGGCGCAAAGCACTTCGTCCGCAGTTTGGCGCCTTCGATGGTTGTGCGCCAGCTACGTATACGCGCTGGAAATCTCCATCGATTACCTACGAACAACATCCAGGCGGTACAAGAGGACGAAGCTCTTCTCATCAAAGGCCTGCATGGCAAGCGACAACATTCGGTCACGGACAACTGCACAGAACTGCGAGTAAGCTTCACGCCCATTGAGCTTGTCAAGATCGACCTTAGTAAGGAGGATCCGGACGATGATGTGGAAGTACCACCTAGTTCTCAGCAAGCCGGAGGTGATGCGGAACTCGATGATGAAGATCTGGAAGATGAAGGCCCTAAGAAGCGTGGACCTACCAAGTTCGACCCAGAGAAGGCTGCGAGAATCTGGGTGATGGAGACTTTCGTCAAGGTCGGTGTGCCGCTCACAGTTGAAGATTGGGAAGCTGGGCGACAGACGAAACTGAAGCCTAAGCGAGCAGCAACTGTGCAAGAGCCTGGCAAAGCTGCACCAAAGGCCAAGGCTGTTCCCAGGCGAACGAAGACAGCCGGCGATCAACCGCAGGCTCGCATCAATACCTTTGCCAAAGTAACGAAACCGGGCTCGAAGCTTTCGCGAGCTCTCGCAAAGACACAGGACAAGGTTGCTGAGGTCACTCCGCCTGTCTCACAGCCTGCGCTACAACAAGACGATGTGATCGATCTGCTATCTTCCTCTCCCGTAAAGACTTGGGATACTGTACAGCCGCACCCGCCTGAACGCGAGAAGTCAACGTCCCCTCTCCTCGCAGACCTGCCTCCAAGTGTGAGCAAACGGAGAAGACGAGCTCCGATTCAGCGATCCAAGACGCTTCCTGCGGACATCAATGCGGTTCCAGAACGACCGTCAACGCCACCTCTTCTGAGCACAATAGAAACATTGGACTTGGTAGATTCGCCTGCCCATCCCTCACCTTCGCAACTACCCGCGAAGAAGGCAAGAACACGAAGGACTAAGGACGGGCCAGCTAGGACAGCGTCTCGAGATACTTCTCTAGCCTTGTCTCCTAGCAAGTCAAAACAGTCAACGTTAGATGCATGGCGAGCATCAGTGACGCCCACCAAGCGACGAAGTGTCACACCAGCGCTCGATGCAGGGCCACCACCCCAACTTCGATCCTTATCAGAAGAAGTCGACTCGCTGGACTTGACGCTTTCCTCGCCGGTGTGGGAAACGCGACATCAACAGACTGCCAGTACTAGCGCACTACCAACTTCGAAGACACCTACGACACGCCCACCATTAACATCGATTTCATCGAACGCATCGCATACATCCACAATTTCGGCATCATCAACAGCCTCCACATCCAATAAGAAGAAGAGTATAAGAGACGTATTTGGCCCATCGCGACCTCGCCGTACTTCACCTCGTCTCAGCAAAACCATGTCCGCGCCTCCTGAAGCCGACTGCCTCGATCTCACATCGCCACAGCTTGCTCCAGCAAAACCAAGATCAGAATCCCCAGCGGCTGATACTCTCGACCTCACATCGCCAGAACCCATCGCAATGAGAGCACGATCCGCATCCCCAAATGTCGAAACACTCGACCTCACAGAACTCTCGTCCCCCGTCGTTGAGCGCGCCCCAACACCGACAGCACCTGTACCAGTATCCCCTCCACCGACCTCGATCTCACCCTCATCCCTCCGCCGCTCACCACACGATCACAAATCTACATCACCACAACACTCATCTCGCACCTCCCCGCCAGCAGCATGGAAAGCGCGAGAAAAGAAGAAACGCGCAATCGTCCTGCGAAAAAGCGTAGTCGGCGCATGGACTTATGTAGATGTCGATAGTCCAGAGAAGATAGTAGAGGGCGAAGCAGGTCTTGTGCTGAAGGGCAAGGAGAGACGGAAATGGCGCGAGAGTGCTGTTGAGATGTTGGATCTGACATAAACTCGGCTGGTTGTGTCTTAGGGTGGAAGGTCGTCGTTCGGTCCTTCTTGATGCAGGTTCTGGGGTGCGCGACTTGATGATGATGATGGATACGAAGCGCGGAGTTTATTGAATACACCACGTTGAATTTCTGCCTATCCTTTCTTTTCATATTCGTGCTGCTACTACACCATCACCATACAAAACACCCATATTACCGACGAGTGCGATGTTATTCCACGCACATGTCCTCCGTATCCTTAGAACGTTGAACCCCTGCAGTTATTCCTAGACCCTGCGCGCGTTCACACCAAAACCTGCTCCCGACCCCAGCCTCACTCCCAATCCAGCCCATGACGTCATACACCCAAACCTTCACCACCAAGGCACGCGGCCATGCATACAAAGCATGCGTACCACATTCATCCGCGGAGTCTGCTCCGCTACCAATTTTCTTCATTTCCGCGTATATCGATAAACTACCTACCCCAATTTCTGCATCGCGATACCCGTTGAGCCTATAACCCTTCACGCATCACACTACATACACCAAGAAGAAGGCCCCTAGAAGAAGTGGCTTGGTTGTTCAAGATGACACAAGCCGTATCCAAACAAGACACCTCGTCTCAACAAGTCCAACAGCAGCGTCAAGGTGCGGGCAACAGAGAAGTGCAGGAACATCATGCTAGTGCGAATGCTTCTGTACGTCAACATTCATCCCCATTCCCATTCGTTGCCATCTCAACCCATTACACAGTATTGTCTAGAGAACTCTTCAATGCCCTGCGATGTGCTGTAGTGGGTAGTAAGGGTAGTGTGTAAATGGGTAAACCTGTACTAACAAACCGTTACAGGCAGGTCTAAACCTCAACCTCTTCGGCGCCCTCTCCGGCGCCTTCTCCTCCAAGCAAAAGAAAACTACGCATCAGAATGCTGATGGGTCGAGTACTACGGAGGAGGATAAGCACGATAAAGGTAGCCAATTACCCATCCATCCCCTTACCCAATCCCATCCCCTCATCCAATCCCCCAATACACCCAGCGGATCCCTCACCTACCCCGTCTTTGACTCCCTTGTCATTTGACTACAGTCTTACTAATCGGATTATATAGGTACCGCGAGCGCAGCAGCCGGGGGCAGAGGAAGTGCATACGCAGCGGGGAACGCACAGCAGAGTAGTTTGAAAGCGAAGGAGAGTGGGGTGACGCAGGAACAGAAGCAGGGGAAGAAAGTGGAGAAGGTTGATCATTTGGGGATTGAGGGATAAAGCAATGGACGGAGGTGTTGTAATGTCTAGAGTACAAGACGATAGTTGAAACGGCATGATTATGACTACATTAAATCAACCAAATTGGGGTGATGCTAGACGTGACAACATGGCGGAAGTAAATACGTGATGATAACATCATCCCTTCATAAACAATACAGATCCCAGAAACCAAGAAACGCCATATATCAACCTAACATCCCAAAACTCATCCTAAACACCTTCCAAAAATCAAAACAGATTACCCAGCGGCCTACTAAACCGCCCCACCAATCCGACTCAACCCCTCAACCCCCCTCTTAGCAGCAACAACATGCCAAGGCACCGTCCCATTCCTTGTCCCCCTCATCCCCCTCAACTTCGCCAAAACGCCCAACGCCCTAAACTGCCCCAACACTTCCTTCAAAAGCCCCTCAGCCGTCGTCCTCGTCTGCGGCGTAGGCGTCCACATAAGACTCGTCGTACTCCTTTGAGCAGGATCCTGCCCCGGCCCCGGACTCTGCGGCGTACCCGGAGTACTAGCATATGGATTAGGCAGATGAGCTCCAGCACCACCTGGACTGGGAAGGTCCGAAGAAGCGGAACTACTACCACTGCTGGTGCTGGTGCTGGAAGAGGGTGGGAAGGGGGAGGAGGCAGCGCGGGTAGAGCCCACGGCGCCGATCCAGAGGAAGTTTACGGCTATGACGATGGGACCGGGTTCGGGGTCGGGGATGGGGTGTGAGATGCTGTTGGTAGTTTGGTGGGTTTCGCCGCGTTTGACGAGGAGACCCGAGATGAGGGCGGGGCTGAATTGCGTTGTTGAGTGGGTGTTGTGGAGGCGGTGGGCGAGGATCACGCCCCAGGTTTCGTCTGTCACGTCGACTAGGCGGGCTTCTGGGTCTGCTGTTGGGTCGGTAGCAGAAGGGTCCGCGGAGGGTGTTGCAGCGGGTGTCAGACCTGGTCCTGGATCGGAGGGGGAGACGCCAGCTTGGGAGGTGGAGTCTGGAGGGCTTGCACCGCCGCCAGTGGTTGTGCTTGGAGCAGCCATGGTGGGTATGAACTTGTACGGTGGATCTGCATCTACTGCTGTGAGCAACGTGACGAAAACGTTGATTTGTGTCGGACACGAGATGAGGTAGACCCATGTCTCCAATTCCTCTCTTTCCAGAACTCCGGCTTTGGCAATGCAAACACGCCAGTTGACTCTTCGTGACTGTAAGATCTCGATAGTCGTCTGCCATATCTCTTTTGCGACTTCTCTGAACACACGCGTACCTAGATGGTACGAGACGACGGCTTGTGACTTGCCACAGCTGTCGGTCCAAGCTGCTGTGACCCAAGTGCCATCGAGACTGATCGCGTAAGCAAGATGCATATAGGTATTCTCTCGAAGCAGGTCCTGCGCTGGCTCGGGTATCAGCTTGAATGGTATGTTTCGTGGAAGCGTCTCCTCGAGATGGAAAGCAGGTGCCGCATATATGCTGAGCGATGTTTTGTCGCTATTAGGTGCACTCGGTGGGCATCGATCGTAGACCTCTCGTGCAAGACTGAAGTAAGTAGCCGGATCCAGGATGACGGGGGCGTCGAACGAAGCGATGTACTTGATCGGTATAACCTGAAGCACCAGATCCGGCTTCTGGGGCTGATCTGGACGTCCTGGTGTCCCTTGACCATACGCTTGGAAGAGCGCCCAGAACGCCGAGCACAGTTCCCAAAGCGCAGACGGACCACCGAAAGGATCGATCATGTAAATGACGAATGCGTCGATTTTTGAATCTTGTTGCTCCCGTATCTTCCCATGCTGTATGGCGAGAAGCTTTCCGAGCTGGACGCAGGTCTCTCTGAGGAGCTTGAATGTCTCCGACGGTGTGATGGACGAGCTGGCCCTCACAGGCACAAGACCCCCTTCAAACTCGACAACCGTCTCGACGCGAGAGTGTGAACCGAGCTTGCAGCTGTCGTAAGCAAGCTGAAGGTTGAGCAGGAAGTTCTCAAGGCAGGGTCGTAGAGCATCGCTATGAGGGTATACACAGAATGTAACGACATTCTTGGGAGGACTGATGGGTGATAATCCCAAGGGCTCCCAGAACGCTACTGCTGGTGGAAGCAAATCCCAATGCGTCTCCGCACGGCGTACCCTCAAGAAGGGTGCGTTGATCTGGTACATGTGGCTCCCGGTAACTGCCGGGCCATCACTCTTCCGTGCAGGTGGCCTCTGCTGCGCTTTTGCCAGGGCGGCATAGTCCTGGAAGACCTCGTGCACGCCTGCAAGTGTAGGTAGGTCACAATCCTCGGCCGCTGGGAAGAGCTCTTTGATGACAGCCTGCCAGCGCGTCTCTGCCATCTCATCACTTCCGGATTCTTTTTCGAAGGGTACATCTTCTCCCAGCAGATCCAGAGTTGCAGACACAATCTGGTCTGTTACAATCTGCGTAATTGAGATGCTATCCTTGGCACTCAAAGGCTTCTCTTCTGATACTTCGTAACTCATCTCAGGCTGAGAGGTGGGAGTGTCGGGCATTTGCGCTGGGTTTGTCTGTAGGGTAGGTAGACTGTAGCGCGCGCCAGCTAAGTGTCGTTCCACCGGAGACGGGAAATGGACCAAAGACCAATCCCATAAGCTTGGCTCGAAATTGTTCAGGTTTGACTCATCAAGTTGAAGACCGTGTAAATCTTGCCAATCGCCTCCCATCGAGTCCGCGAACGACGTCACCGAGAGCGGCGTGGCGTTGCCCTCGCTCTGTAACTTCCTCTTCGCAGGCATGACTAGTCCGCCTATGGTAGCTGTGGGCGTCGCTTCCACTTCCTCATCTTCTTCAGAGTCTTCATCGGATTCGTCTGACGTCTCACTAGAATCCGAGTCTTCGCTAGCTGCTCGAGCCAGAGATGCTATTTCTGGTATCTGATGCGTAGACGCAGCCCCTACAGTGATACGAAGCTTCGAAAGTAGAGGTATGTCTCTCAGACTTTTCGTCTGGGTGACAGTGGCCCCAGCACCAGGACTAGGGCTGGAGATACTGCTACGGCCATGTTCCACAGAGTGATGTGTGCTGAATCGTCCATCCTGATACTTGGCGTCAGACATGCTCATTTTGCGACTGAAAGCCACCGGGCTGAAGTGTGTATCGTGTGGGGTATCCGTGGGTTGAGTTGATCGAGCACGCGATGTCTTCTTGTGCGGCGGAGATGGCTGTAGTGCCTTGGAAACAGCGCTCGGGCTTAGTGGTGGAGTTGGCTCCTTGGAGAAAGACACTTTTGCTCTTGGTGTTGGGACGGTAGTCTTCTCCTCAAACAGATCGACGCTTTCGCTTGGCGGTTCTTCCACGGCCATTGGCTGTTTGCCTTTGTCTTCTTTCTTCACGTCCACGGGAGGCTCAGAAGCCGTATCCAACGCACTTTCGAGTGCAGCGAAAGGGTCATTTGTGTCTTCTTCGGTCTTGGGTTCGACAGCCACTTGAGACTCAGGCTTTCGTGATGTGTTGGCAGGTGCTACGCTCGTATCTGGCAGCTGAGGTGCGTCCATCATGTCAATATCGTTATCGTCCGGTCCGTCAAAGAAGTCGAAATCCGTGTCGTTGATGCGATCCCCTCCGTATCCATCTTCGTCCATATCGTCGCCGAAAAGATCATCGTTTCCCCCGGAGGTGTTGAAGTTGTCTGGCGCAGATGCGACGGGTGACGTCAAAGGCATTTGTTGATCTTCCATCTTGGTGTCGTCTTGTGGAGCGGAGAGATTGATGGCAGGGTTGTTGCCTCCGGGTGCTAGGATGACGTTGGAGACCGTGCCGGACACGCTCGGTGTGTCGCTATGGGAGACTGCAGTTCCGGGAACAACCCCATCCGGAGGTGTGGGGTAGACACCACCTGCAGGATGCAGGTCCCCGTAGGCACCACGAGCGTTTACAGGTGATGACGCGATCATGGTCTGTTGTTCGTCCTTGAGACGGGCAGCGTCCTCTTCAGCCTTCTTCGCTTTTCGTCTCGCTTCAAGAATCTTGTCACGATCCGGCTTCCCTAGAAACCACTCCTGTGCGGCATCAAGTGGATCCTTGAAGCCTATTGATTCTGGCGTGTCGTACCATCTCAGCATACTGTGGCCTCCAGCTGCCGCCACACTAGCCGGCTCCGCAGACTTCATCTCGTGTTCTTCTGATCCGTGAAAGAAGCACAGTGCTCTGGGCCAGAGGACATCTCGATCCTGACCTGCTAAAGCCGGGCTCGAAACTAGAGGGTTATTAACTGAGGTCATGCGTATTCTAACCCATGAGCTTTTCTTCTCAAGGTCATGCAAAGTGAAGCCCTTCCAGCCCAGCCAACGCTTGACACTCGACTTCCAGTTCTCAATGCTCTGCTCTAAGGTGGTGAGTCTAGTGCGTTTCCTATGACGGAGGCCTATCTCCTCTACGAGGGATTCAAGCGGATCTTCAAGGCTCGTTATTGTTGCAAGCAGGCCATTCGGAGCCACTCGGATACATCTACCAACAAGAGACTGCTCTCCAGCTTGCGTGGACACGTCGCCGACGCAACGAATATCAGTCTTTTGGTCAGTGAAAGTCGAAACGAGGAGTGTGCCCGAGCTGGCCCAATGTACATTGATGCTTGTCATGCGATGTACGCAGTCTGGTGGTTCAATCTCATCTTCATCATCGTCTATCTGCTTGTAAGCCTTAGAAACAAAGGTGCGGAAGTTCAAGGCAGTCACATTGCAATCTTTGACGATGTTGAACGAGATGAGAGCAATGACGGATGATGTGAAGAGCTCATAGACTGTGAAGCAATCGGGCGGCGCAGGGGCATCAGATGCCGAGGCCTGGCTGTTGCCCTGTGACGACCTCGCACTGCCAGCAGGCAGGCCCCTTTGTGGTGCTGTTGCCGATGGGGAATTATTCGAGGCCGCGGTGGTGTTGGGGTTGCCCGGGCGCATGGGGGGTCGCGCTAGATCGATGGCTTTGGTGCATCCTGTCTGCTCGCCTAGCACGTGTCAGTCGTAATTTTGGGAAGGTGCGAGAGCGACATACTGTGCAGGCGATAGCCGTCGAGCTCTGGGAGGTCGACGTTCGGCTCTATCTTATCGACGGTCGTGGGCTTGAACAGCCATAGCCACGGTCGCGATGCATCCTGCGCAACAAGGTGCAGGTCCTGTCGCAGGTCGGCTTCGACTGCGCGTATGTCGTCGGAAGCATTCCAGTCTCGCGTTCTCGAGGAGGTGGGGGTGGTGGTGCGGGTGATTGAGAAGGCGTGGTATGCGACAGCCTTAAAGTCTCCCTGTATATTGTCAGCGTGCCATCGCGTACGAATATATTCCGACTTACTATAGCTTGCGCATTCGTAGTACAGGTTTTGAGAAATTCCATTAGAGAGATGGCTCCTTGTTAAGGGACATTCAGGTGGTATGCGCGGCGTATTTTCACTCCCAAGACTGCGCTGTACACTTTTTCCATCAACTCCGCTGCGGTCCGCCCAGCGCGTCACGCGCGACAGTGTCTATCAAAGCGATGGAGGTGTGGTGTGGGCGGGGCGTCGAGGGTCGAGGGTCAGTGTATCGGCATGATCTAGACGCGTAGGAGAAGTGATCATGGCTCCGAACACGGGGAGAGAGCCGGATGCAGCGTTCGGCGCCTCCCGATTGCAACGACGTGGTACAGGGTGGGCAGTACAAGCACTTGAGGGACAGAGCGACTGGACCCGGCAGCGAAAAAGCAAGTGCATGCGATGTCAGCTACGCGGAAGAGGCAGACCAGTCGACGGCGGCTGGCTCGCGGTCGCTAGCCCACACATCCATGTCGCCCGGGTGCACGCCCGGAGTTGCGCTTAGTACTAACGGCTCCACTCTTTTTTCATCGCGAACTTCCAAACGTTCTCTGCTGCCGCTCTGTCGCAACCCACTCCGCCACCATGAAGATTTCCTCAGGTGCTGTTCCGGTATACACAATCAGTGGCAGTGAGGCGCGCCCGCTGCCCGAGTGGCTTATTCGGAAAAGAAAGCGCAGCCTGAAGAACGACCCCGAATTCGCCAACCGTGTCGACCTGCTGCAAGATTTCGAGTTTGAGGAAGCCAGCCAGTGTGTTCGCGTGAGCGAGGATGGCGACTGGGTCATGAGCACGGGCACATACAAACCTCAAATACACGTCCACTACCTTCCCCATTTGTCGCTGTCCTTTGCAAGACACACCAATACTCTTGTACGGTCTTTCCCTTCTTACTATTCACCACAATGCATACTAATTTCCGCAGAACCAAACCTTCCACCTCCTCTCCTCCGACGCCAAAAAGAGCGTACATCTCCAGCAAGATCGATGCATAGAATTCCACACCGGTGGAGGCCTCCACTATGCGAGTCGCATACCACGTTACGGTCGCGATCTTATCTACGACCGGAGATCAGCAGAGTGCCTGGTACCCGCTGTCGGTGTAAATGCGGACGGCATGGGCGAGGCCTTCAGATTGAACCTGGAAGTCGGGCGCTTTATGCGGAGTTACGAGATTGACGTGGGTGGTGACGATGTGACGACAGTCGGCGGGGGCGCTCTCCAGGGTGGCATCGGCGCGGGCGCAGTGAACACCGGTGCTATTGCCGAACATTCGCATGGCCTCCTCGCCTTCGGTACCTCTATCGGCACAGTTGAGTACTGGGACTCGCGATCGAGAAACAGAGTGGGCATTCTGTCAGCGCCTCCAGATGCGTTTGAAGGAAAGTCGGAAATCACAGCGTTGACCTTCCCATCGTCAGGTCTGGAGGTTGCTGTGGGAGATTCCAACGGCATCGTACAACTTTACGATCTTCGATCACCCAAACCACTTCTGCGAAAGGACCAAGGATACGGCTATCCGATTAAAAACATAATCTACCTCGACGGCGCGCAAACTGCCGAGCCCAAGATCTTGACCGCAGACAAGAGGGTCATCAAGATCTGGGATCCAAAGGACGGCACACCATGGACTTCCGTGGAGCCATCAGTAGACCTCAACCACGTCGAATGGGTGCCAAAGACTGGTATGCTCCTGACGGCAAACGAGGGCAGGCAGCAACATTCCTTCTTCATACCACAGCTTGGTCCGGCGCCAAGATGGTGCTCCTTCCTCGACAACATTGTCGAAGAAATGGCCGAAGACCCCAACGACCCCAACGCTTTTGGCAAGGGCGCATCTGGAGACGTATACGACAACTTCAAATTCTTGACACACGAGCAGCTGAAGCAGCTTTCCCTGGACCATCTCGTTGGAACCACAAGCCTACTACGACCCTACATGCACGGATTCTTCGTCGCCCAGAAGCTGTACGAAGAAGCGCGCCTCATCTCTAACCCAGACCTCTGGCAAGAACAACGCGCCAAGAGCATCGCCGAGAAGATCAGCAAAGAGCGCGAGTCCCGAATCCGCGGCAACAAAAAGGTGGCCGTCAAAGTCAACCGAAAGCTCGCAGAAAAGATGCTGGAAAAGCAAGAAGAGCAAGCGCGCCGGCAGGCCAAGCGCGTCCTCAAGCAAGGCGGCGACGACGACATGCTCGACACCACCACCACCGCGCCCGCCGTCTCGGAACCCACCAAACCCGCCGACGGCGTCCTCAACGACCCTCGTTTCGCCAAAATGTTCGAAGACCCCGAATTCGAAATCGACGAGCAAACCCGCGAGTTCCAGCAGCTCAACCCCAGCACCAAGATCCCCAAGGGCCTTACCGCCGCCGAGCAAGAAGACCTCGAATCAAGAAAAGGCTCTTCCGATTCAGACTCTTCAGACTCTGAAAAGGACGCCGTGCGTCCGGCGAAGAAACCACAACAGCAGAAGGAAAAACAAGACAACTCCCGTATTTCCTCCAGCGCCTACCGCAAAGCAGGTCATCGCTCTCAACGCGCTGGCCCCGAAATGGTTGTTTCGTCGTCGAACCAACGGAAATCGGGGTCGTCTGCGATGGCAAAAGACAAGACCTTTGGTTCGCGTGTTAGTAAGCTTAAAGACAGGAAACCGGTCAAGTCGGCGAGTAACACGACGGTGGTGGGTGAGCGGGAGATTACGTTTGCGCCGGAGAAGAAGCAGAGGAAGAGGCCCGAGCAGGAGGGGCAGAGGCATGATCGGAGGAAAGAGGGCGGGAGGAGGAATGCTAGTAACAATGTTTTTAGGAATATGTAGGGTTTGGAAAAGTAAATGGATTGGGTGGGAGGCATGGAAGATGGAGATGGAGATGGAGATGCATACTTGGGAGTTGAATGATACCCTTATCAAAGTGTAACACATGTGTTGGAGACGTGATAAGAACGGTAAAATTGTTCATGTGCTCTCTTCGTTAACAAGAACACGCAAGAAGTAACTCTATCATCTGATAATTTCCATTTCAAGCTCATAAGTTACGCGGAGCGGGAAACGAGGAGCCCAGAGCAAAGAAATAATGCTAAATGTCTTCTTTTGCACATCTGTCAGGACACGTACGAAGTTTCGATTGAAGAAAGTTAAATCGATCTATTCCAATAGCTCGTCCGCAGCATGATGAAAGCTCGAAACGCAGCCTACGCCATATATAAAATATACGCCTCCATGCGATCAATACCACATGGCACCGCCTCTGTATAGATATACCCCAGTCCCATTGTCTTGTCCAAGCGGGACTTCCTCTCTCGCCCATTCAGGCCCAGAAACCTCGTCGATCGTGGGTTCAATTTGTGTTTTACTCCTTTCTTGGTGCAGAAGAACAGTCTTTACTCAGAAGACTGCTTGTTCATCATAGTGTAGGCAGCGAATGCGAGCGCACCGCCAAGTAGGATGATAGCGTAGAGACCGACACCAGTGGATGCGCCGTCGGTGGTGGTAGCGGTTGTACCGGGTTGCGCGTAGCTCTTGGGCTTTGGGTCGCCCTCCTGTTTCTCACTCGTCAGTATTGTTGTTCTGTTTTGTGGATACGGAGAACGGGTTGTTTCGTTTCCGTGCATGGTGGGCGGAATCGTTCCGAAGAAGTTCCTTGACCCTCGGACCGGCATCTGGGCGCGGCATCTGGGGGCGCGGGATGCAGATGCGATGTGTCGGGGGGATTTGTTGCGTGTACGTGAAGGGAGGAAGTGGGAATCGGGTTATATGTGCGGGATTGAGGAGTGGAGGGTGTCGTACCTGACGCTTCAAGTTTCCAACAAGCAGCCCATCGAGAATCTCACGGGCTTCATCCGAGTGACCAACGTCCTCAAAGGCTTCTGTTGAGTCCTGGCCTCCGACATCGAGAAGAACCTCTTCACCACCTCTGTACATGTGTTAGCAACCGTTGCTGCGACCATTGACCCGACACATGTGAAGGCGGGGCTTTTGGCCATAACAAGTATGAGTATGCGAGTGCCGAGGTGCGGTGCATTGCGCGGTGGGCAGGGCAGCGAACGTACGGGTGCTCGTCTACGAAGCTCGATGCGTTGTAGACCTTGTCGTGGACGACGATGTATAGGTCCTTCTTGGTGTTGTGCTCCGAGACGTCGGAGTAGGTGAATTCCTTGTCGGCAGACATTGTGGTGGTGTAGAGGAAATTCGGGGTACGTGGTCTTAAGGCGCGAAAAACCGAGGTCGTGTGCTTGCGTGCGTCGAGGCGGGGAGAGAATTGGACGGGAGACGGTTGCGTTGACGTGGAGGTGGTCAGATGGGAATGAACACGGCGGATAAGAAGTTGTGCACAGTTGTAGCGGGTTGATTAGCTAGCTTCTCCCGAGGTCGGTTTAGGCGTTGCAGAGGCGCTCGCGCTCAAAGTCAAATTGCTGTTCAACCATTGGCTCAGGCGCTCACCGACCCAAGGCTTCCGAGCTCCGGCCACAACGGGTAAGAAGACCCTGTCGGCGGGGCTTGCGGTCTTTTTGAGTAGTCAATTCCGCTGGCAATGGGGATAGCATCTCATGCAAAGAAAGAACTGAACAGCTGCTCTGCCGTCTACATTAGTATAAAACTTGGAACGTACATATTCTCTAAGGCAATGTATACTTCGAGAATGTAGGTGTTTAATTTTTCCCTCGTATGAAATGTTAATCAGGATGGTTGTCAGAAAAGTCGCTTGCTATGCTATAATGCTATGATACTGTCTACACCTGCTCCGCCTCCCTGATTCACCATCACGACCCCAAGACCTTGATCTTCATCCACTCGCTCGTTCCTATCCCAAGGTTTAACCCATTCAATGCCCACCATCTTCGCACGGCATCTCCCCGCGCTCCCTCAACACCATCCTCTAATGCTTCTTCGATGTCACACGTCTTGTACTCCACCTTCAGGCCGCTGCGCTTCCACCATTCTAGCACGCCGGCATGGCCCATTTTGGTCGGTCCTACGAGAACCTGGTTGTCAAAGAGAATTTTCTCGCCGCGAAGGGTACGCCAGTAGTCTAGAATATGTGTGTGGCCATGGGTCGAGGCGATTTTGGCTATTGTATCTTCATGCGAAAAGGGAATGCCGGATTCAACCCAAAAGTGAATCGCGGGTAGGCAGCCTGACTGTGTTGCGTAGGTGATGGACTTGCCCACCTTGAGAGGTAAGTCGTCTTGGCGGGGTCTGCTAGGAGCTTGCTCATCTACTGGTGATGAAGGTACCGAGGGGGCCGTCCTGTAACGGCTGTGCTCCTTCCACCACTTGAGTACGTGAATGTGGCCCTGCGAGCTAGCTTGCTCGAGCGCAGCTTCTGTGTACTTCAGTGAGAGGCCAGAGTTGTACCACCAGTCAAGGGCCTGGACCGAGTTGGTGCGGCTCGCGTTGTCAATGGCTTCCGCAGAGTACTCTTTGGTAAGGAAGGTGGGCGATGTACGCCAGTACTCGAGAATCTCCGTTTTTCCAAACACAGAAGCCTTGTGGGGTAGAAAGGTGTGCCCGAATGTGCCCCAGAAGAGCTCCTTGTGGAACTTTTCCAGGTGTGCAAGAACGGGTACCATGGCAAAGCGCATGATGAGTTCGATGCATACGCGGGAGATGCGTGTGGGGTTCTCGGAGTCAAACACAGCCTTGATCTCCGAATAGGGATAGGTAAGAAGCGCCCATTCTATCTTCTGCATCTGCGTCTTGGGGCCTTCATCGCTAGCCGATTGTCGCCACTCTTTCGGTATGGGCAGATTCGTGTGGACATTCAATGTAGTCGCCAGCTCCCAGTCCTTGGTAAATTCCAGGATGATGGACCAGAGCTCTGGCGGCAGCCGAGACCCCTTGCTTCGCGTAGGTGTCAGTGTTGGGAGATGGGCAATAGGTAGTGCGATAGTGCGATCACCGACTGCCATCAAATCGATCTGGGTTTGTATAGATTCATTGAAAGCCTTGTGCCCTTCTACCCATGGGTGGTACTTGCGCCCGGAATGGTCGAAAGACCACAAGAACGGAGGGAGTACGCGGATCCAGTTCCACTTCCGCCGTATCTTGCTGATCTGCTTCCTCGACATGGGGTTCTCCCACATCAGCGTGGACATGCCCGGTATAAGCATTATCTTCTTTGACACATTCCAGCTGCGCAAGATCTTCAGGTGCAGGTTTGTTGTGAATCCATGGAGCATGCGGGCGAGATTCTCGGCGTCAAGCGGTGCGAGGACGAGCAAGTCGGCCCATGAGCAGTAGTCTGCCACGTTGGTCTCCTGATAGTCGGCATGTTGCCACTCGGGCGTCGTGTCGCTCTCGGGGTCATACGTGTACCAGACGGGCTCGAGCTGGGGCGGGACAGTCGTGTGCGTCGTGGTCGGGAAGTCCTTGCACGCGATGATCTTCAGAGAAACATGCTGGAGGCGATGCAGGCGCGCAACGATGGAGCAGCCAAAGCGGAAGGCCGAGGGGTCAGTGAGGGCGACGAGGACGTTTAGCGTTCGCGCGGGTGTTTGCGAGGACATTGAGGGGTGGCGTGTGGGAGTCTGTAGGTTGCGGTGAGTGCCTACACAGACATCGATTCACCGTTACGTTAGACCGCGATTGGCCGCTGCCCCACGTTGCTGTCAGTAGCTGCCGCCAAGCCCAGGCAGTGTCAGGCACGAAGGGTGCATGGACGTTTGGGGGACATAAGCCATTGATGCCATACTGTCGCGAACGGTGGTGACGGCCGTATTCAAAGGCCCGACCTCGTTACATGTACGCGTCAAACATGAAGTGATTCCATGGTGCATCGTTGGTCCACGAATTCGTCAGAGCTTGGCGCGTTGATCGTCGAAACACTTTTACACGCCACGGGCCGGGATCACGTGAGATCGGCGCATCCTGCCCCCGGGGCCGTCTGTCGTGGGCAATCTGCAAAATTCTGGGGACAAGATAGTTCCGCGGGAGGCAGCGTACCACTCTTACTACGAGAGTGTCTGGAGCCCTCGGAGCCCGCTGACAGCTGTCATGGATATGTTTGTGAGACCCGGGTGTCATTAGCCGACGCCTCTTATGGTGTTGAGGGCAATAAACAAGCAGGTGACTGTCGCAATGATGCCGCCGCGTCTCACCAAACACACTCCACGTTCGGCGTCGAGCCAGCCGTGGTGCATCTCACCGATGACGTAGCGCTTGTCTGCCCTAATTCCCGCGCGCGAGTGGGTCCGAGGCCGCTGATGATGGAAAACTGTCGAATATCCATGCTCCGGTCGCTAAGAACTTTCATGGCCTAACCTGCATCTTGCCCCTAACCTACCTGCTCTGAGCTTAGATCGTCGATCGCAGAGATAGAGCGACTTAACCCAAGACGTTCGCGATCGACATCTGGAGGCGCATCAAGCCATTCAAGACGACGCATGGCAGTCATCTATCTCATCAACTAGACGGTGACGCGCTGCCCGTCGTTGTGTCTGCACAAGTGCAGCTAGGAGCCAGCCTGGTCGTTGCGCATCTCTGCCTGTGTCCATCCTTCTGTCGCTTTCCATCCACTCCAACGGTTGCATGCCTCGCACTTGACTGCCCTGGACGGTCCAGATTTCGTTCGCCCCTCCGCACGCCGCCACATCTCCCAGCAGCAGCAACTCTGCCAACTTCATGAGGCTGCTAGGCCCGCCCACCATCCCCCTCTGGCAAAAGAAACGAGACTCCTATTAGGGATTGTCCGTCTTTCGCCACCCTCACGCGGTCCCTGCATAACGCCAAGTGACCTTGCCTGCGGTTGAGAGCATCCTCGCAACTATCCACACCACACGTTAGCGACCACCAGACGCCCATGGACGCCTGAAGGCACAATCCCACCGTGTGCGGGTGCCTCTATTCCTACCAACAGCCAGGCCGTCGGCGCACTCTTAACCCTGCCGCCGGCGTGCTCGCCTGATCGACGAGACACAGCTCCATGTCTCAATCACCCCAGCAAACCCCCAACCTTGGTCCTAATACACCAAGCGATGGCCGCTTCAACTTCTCCACCGTGTCGCCCGTGCCCGAAGAGCCAGCTACGCCCGACGCTGCACCAAAGGCCGCCGACTTCGCTCTGCCACCGAACAGCGCTGCGTCTGGGGGCCCTAGTAACGAAGGCGCCATGAGCCCCTCCGCTACCGACCGTGTCTTTCCCATACGGAGCGCCATCAGCGTCGACCCTACTCCCACACCAAAGGGCGGTTACTCCCAAGGCGATTACTTCCACCCATATTCGCGAACAAACGACTCGCGCTTCACAAGCGACTCCCGCCGAGCTTCGCAGGGATCGACTACGTCACAGGCTTCACATGGCTCGCAGCGCGCTTGGGGGTTGCGTCCTGGGAGTACCAAGGCAGACACAGGCTCTGATACACAGCGCTCGTCCTTCCAATCCACTCAAAGAGCCGACGGCTCGAGAAGGGCCGCCCCTCAAATACCCCAACAGCTGTTCAATGATCTGTCGTCAACAAGGTCAGGTGGAAGCGCACAGGAAGGCAGTCGGTCACCGGGGTCAAGAGCCGAACGGGCGCCGTCAATTGGAGGTGCTTCCGCTAAAAGTGGTATCAGCAGCTTGGATATGGGCGGACTGGTGACACATCGGTTCAAGCACGTCACGACTGAGGGAGGACACATGGTCATAACAGGCCGTGAGGGCGATACCCTACAGCGCTGCGAGGATGAGCCCATTCATCTGCCGGGCGCCGTGCAAGGCTTCGGTCTGCTACTGGCACTGCAAGACGACCCGGAAGGAAGTCTGCTGGTGCGTGTCGTAAGTGAAAACTCTAAACGCATATTAGGACGCACCCCGAAGGAGCTATTCGCACTAGAGAGCTTTACGGACATTCTATCTGAAGAGCAAGCCGATAACCTCTTGGACCACATCGACTTCATCAAAGACGAGGACTCCGACGTCACGTCCAATGGGCCCGAAGTCTTCACCATGTCCATCAAAGTGGCAGGCTACAATCGAACGCGCAAGCTGTGGTGCGCCATCCACATCAACGATTCAAATCCTGGACTTGTTATTTGCGAGTTCGAGCTTGAAGAAGACCCTCTATACCCGCTGGTGCCCCCCAACGACCTTACTCCAGAGCTGCCGGAAGATACTTTGTCCAGTCAGCCCACGGCGCAGGAACTACTCGAAAGTACAGAAATCAAGAGCAAGCCCTTGCGAGTCCTGCGTAGCGCGCGGAAAAGGAAGGGTGAAGCTGCTGCGATGGAGGTCTTCAACATCATGTCCCAGGTGCAAGAACAGCTGGCTGCGGCACCATCATTGGAAAAGTTTCTCAAAGTTCTTGTGGGCGTTGTCAAGGAACTAACTGGTTTCCATCGCGTCATGATATATCAATTCGACCAAACTTTCAACGGCCGTGTCGTTACAGAACTTGTTGACCCGCGAGCGACAAAGGATCTATACAAGGGGCTGAATTTCCCTGCTTCCGATATTCCAAAGCAAGCTCGAGAACTATACAAGCTAAACAAGGTTCGCATGCTCTACGACCGGGACCTAACAACCGCAAGGCTCGTTTGCCGTACCGCTGAGGATTTGGAAAGCCCTCTCGATCTCACGCACTCGTATCTTCGCGCCATGTCCCCAATTCATCTCAAATATCTCGCGAACATGGCCGTAAGGTCGTCAATGTCCATCTCCATCAACGCGTTCAACGAGCTGTGGGGTCTTATTGCCTGCCATTCGTACGGGCCTCGCGGTATGCGCGTATCTTTTCCTATTCGAAAGATGTGTCGCATGGTTGGCGATGCAGCATCGAGAAACATCGAAAGATTATCGTATGCGTCAAGACTACAGGCCAGGAAACTCATCAATACTGTACCAACACAACATAACCCCTCCGGGTACATCATCGCCTCCTCTGATGATCTCTTGAAACTCTTCGATGCCGACTTTGGTTTACTCTCGATCCGTGACGAGACAAAGATCCTTGGTATTCTAGAGAACTCGCAAGAAGCACTGGCCATGTTAGAGTATCTCAGGATGAGGAAAATACAATCGGTCATGACTTCCATAGATATCATCTCGGACTTCCCCGATCTGCGATACCCGCCCGGTTTCCATGTCATATCAGGCATGCTAATCGTCCCCTTGTCGGTAGATGGCGAGGACTTTATCGTTTTCTTCAGGAAAGGACAACTGAAGGAGGTGAAATGGGCCGGTAACCCATACGAAAAGTTCATCAAAGAGGGCACCGAGGGTTACCTGGAGCCAAGAAAGAGTTTCAAAACGTGGTCCGAGACCGTCGTTGGAAAGTGCCGCGAATGGACGGAAGAAGAGATTGAGACCGCCTCAGTGCTATGTTTGGTATATGGAAAGTTCATCGAAGTCTGGAGGCAAAAAGAAGCTGCGCTGCAGAGTAGTCAGCTGACCCGATTATTGCTGGCAAACTCGGCGCACGAAGTTCGCACCCCACTGAATGCAATTATCAACTACCTCGAGATAGCACTGGAAGGAGCCCTAGACACGGAAACACGGGAAAACCTTTCGAGATCGCATTCGGCGTCGAAGTCACTCATCTACGTAATCAACGACCTACTTGACCTGACCAAGACGGAGGAAGGCGGACCACTCATTAAGGGCGAGTCGTTCGACTTCCGGGAAACAATCAAGGATGCCACCGACATGTTCAAGAACGACGCCAAACGGAAGAACATATCTTATGAAGTTATCGAACACCCGGGTTTGCCTACTTTGTGTATCGGAGATCAACGCCGAGTCCGTCAGGCCATCTCCAATATCACTGCGAACGCCATACAGAACACTACCCAAGGTAGCGTCACTGTGGAGGTTTATGTCGCAGCAAGGCCCAGCAGAGATCATGTCGAGGTTGAAGTGGCAGTGGCCGACACGGGTGTTGGTATGAGCCAGAAGAAGCTCGATCAGCTCTTCTATGACTTGGAGCAAGTTCAGTCTGAGCCTGCATCTATGCTGGAGGATGCGCTGGTACCTGACAAAAATCAAATTGCCGAGCAAGGTAAGAAGTCAACGTTGGGTCTCGGTCTGGCCGTCGTTGGCCGCATCATCAGGAATATGAACGGACAATTGAGGCTTCGATCCGAAGAGGGCAAAGGCACGAGGTTCGTCGTACAATTTCCGTTCGACCTTCCAGACGCCGAGGTAGAAGCCGTGACAACGGCAGAGGCTTCGCCAGCTGGTAGCATCACACCCCAACCGGACAGTACCTTATCGAGCATCCTGCCTGGCCCTGATGAAGGCGAACGGACTCTCATTGCCCCAAGTCTATCGCGCCACACCTCCGATAGCGAGAGGAAGAGTAGCTCGAGTGGTGGGACGAGTGGTGTGGTCATTCGAAGATCTAGTGCGGAGAGTCTGACGAGCAAGACTAGTCTACGCAGCTTCAAGAGCGGGTCGAGTCAGAGGAGTGATGTGGACAGACTTATCGACGCGATACAAGAGCCGCACATGATCGGCAGAGGCGATGCAAGCCCAAGCGCACACTCTCTGAGACCGACCTTAACGAAACGCAATAGTCTTGATCCCGGCGCC